AGGAGAAACCAGGAATATAAAGTGTGGGGAGTCACTCCCTGTGGTCCTACAGTCAGCCTTCCTCAGAGGACCCTCTTTTCACTGCATACCGAGGCTCGTTCTCTCTTAGCTTCCACTGATTCATCTTCAGACCTGACACAGCCTCTGTCTGGAGCCTGCTTGACAGTCCCCACGGCCTCCTCCATTTGTCCTACAGGGCTTGGCTGGTAGGAGAATAAACAAGGTCAAGGGCTGGAAAGTGAAGACAGGTGGGAACAGGGGAATAGCACAGGGAAGTGTGGGGCTGGGGAAAAAACACAAATTCTGGGTATAAGGAAAAGACTGGTTCTGAAGGCTCCTTGCAATGCTGGAGCGTCCAGGGAGGCACCTGCATGGACTTGGTACAGCCCATCCAAAGTACCACGCTCACCGGCATCGATGCTGCCACCTTCTGCTGTTGCTGTTGGTCGATCTTAAATAGCTGCACCTTGGCTCTCTTGAGGAGGCTGAACATTTTCTCTTCCACCCCAGACAGTGGTAGAGATCCCAGGCTTGCAATCCGGGCCCTTTCCAGTGGTGGTGTATGCTGTGGTGATGGTAGTGGCTGCAGCTGTAACTGTGGCTGTACTTGTGGCTGCTGTGGTGGTAGTGCCTGGGGCAGAAGCTGGGTCTGCAAGGCCTGTAAGGGCTGCTGCCCATTGCTCAGAGTGGGAGCCCCATGGGGGGACACCTCGGCCTTAACAGGAGTGGTGACCACAGGGACAAATCGAGGCAGGCTGAGGTGGTTGGTGCGGCCCACTGCCCGTGGCTCAGGGTCAGCTGGAGAGTCATCAGCGGGTGGAGGCTCTGGCTCAGGGGCTTCAGGAGCTCCAAGAGGAGTAGTAAGCACCGATTCATAGATCTTCAGGTGGGCTTCACTTGGGGTAAACTGAGGTGCCCGAAGGAGCAGGGGCCTCCGAGAAGGGGTGGCAGGGGTAGGTGGCGGGGATGGAGATGGGGCTGGTGGAGGGGCAGGAGGAGGAGGTGGCAGCTCCTGGGTTAGTGAGGTCCAGCGAAATGTGGGTTCCCTTAGGATGGACCGTCTCTTCTCAGGGAGTGGCACTGGGGTAGGTGGGGGGGTTGGGGCACGTGGTGGAGATGGGACTGGTGCTGGTTCCTGGGGAGCAAGTGGGGAGGTGGCAATGGGAGGCCGCAGAGGTGAGACCTCCACCTTTGAGGGTTTGGGTGGGTCTTCATCCATAAATCGCCGTGGGGTCTTGATGATACGAGAGGAGCGGGCGCTCACCACAGGCATAATAAACTGCCGGATATTCTTCAGGAAGGTGGTACTTTTGGGGGTTACAGTAGGACTGTCTTCTGGAGGGCCTCCTGTGGCGGTGCTGGGGTTTGGAGTGGGAGGAAAGGGGCCCTCTGGCCCTGCCCGGGCAGCTTCCCGCTCCGCCCGCTGGCTGGGAGTCAGAGGCGGCCGGCCCCTCTTCCTGGAGCATGTAGCTGGGACCACAGGAGGAGGGGACTCTTCCTGCTCCTCTGGAGCTGGAGGTGGTGGAGAGCATGGTGGTGGAGGCGGGGTCTCTGGAGGTGGTGGTGGGCAAAGTGGAGGTGGAGATGTTGAGGGGGGTGGAAGGGGAGGAGGAGGTGGAGGGGTTGGAGGAGTCAGAGGCAATGATAGTGGCTTTGCCTCTTCCTTTTCTTTGGGTAGCATCACCTCCTCATTGACCATAGGTCTGGCTTCCTTCTCCTCTCCCTGCTCTTTGTCTTTCTCTCCTTTCTTCTCCTTTCTCTCCTCCTCCATCTCCTGCTCCTGCTTCTTCAAACAAGGGCCCCCTTCCTGTCCAGATTCAACTCTTCTCTGGGGAGCATCCTGACAGCTTTCTCCATGTTGACCTTGACCCTGACCTGGTTCAAGCCCTAAGGACAATTGTCCCATCTTCACTCTTTTGGCCTTTGAAACAAACTTGATCACAAGGGGAAGCCCTCCTCGGCCTCTGCCCCTGCCTCCACGACCTCCTCTCCCAGGCTGTCCTCCACGTTTGGGGGTCCCAGGCCCTGGGCCGGGTCCCTCCTTGCACTTCCAGCTGCCAGTTCGATGTTTTACTGGAACCACAGGAGGTGGGGGCTCTGGTTTAGGGATTGTCACAGCCGCTTCTGCTACTACTACTGCTTGCTGCTTCTTCCGGCAGGGACCTGCTGGCCGTCCTGGGGGCCGTCCCCGAGACCGACGGGGGGTAGAGGGCTCACATGCCCGGCTCCTGGGGACTGGGGGTGCCTGGGCCCGCCGAAGAAGTTCAGTCAGTGCCTGCACCATCCGTTCTGTGCCCTCCTCACCCCGTTTCCGTGCAGAGGTCTTTGGGGGGATAGGAGACACATCAGCTAGGCGAGGAGGAGGAAGGGGGGTCGTCTTATGCTTGCGGCCCCGACCTCGGGGGGCTCGACCTAAAAGGAAAATAGGTGTGGGGAGAGGGGTCAAGCTGGCCCTGCAAACTGAAGAAGGCCATCTGGGAGGCAGGGACTTAACTTAGTCTTACTTGTCTGTTTCCCCACAGCCCAGCCTAGCTTGAACTCTGAACACATGACACACTCAGTAACTGATGGAGACTAGGTGAACAGGGGAGAGCTGACACAAAGGGTGAGAATAACATTCCTGTAAAGCTACAGAGGGAGAGTTTCCCCATCACTCACCTCGCTGGGATCGGAGCGCAGAGCGCAGGGAACTGGGGCCCACATCTTCATCTGAATGAAAACCCTGAAACTCCTGATTTAGGGGACCAGGGGTGAAGGGGAAAAACAGCAGTCAGTGCCAAAGCCCTGGTTCCACCTGGAACTCAGGTATAGAGTAATATCCCCAGCTTCCCCTTTGGTGTAACCCTGCTTATTTATAAAAGAACTGAAAAGACTGGAAGATCAGAAGGGAGTAGAAAACAGGGTCTCTCCCCAGAGATGGATGCACAGGCATTTGTGAACTCCCATCCCCAGTGCCAAGCCATACCAACACAAACAGCACTGCCCAGAAGAAAACACGGCAGGGTCTCATCGGGTCAAGCAACAGGCCCTACAGTAAGGGCCAACTCCAACTCTAAACTGTGGGACCTCCATTTACACCCTTCCAGGCCATAGTTTGATCCTGAATGAAGATGGGAACGGGGACACCCAAGGGGGGGGGGAGGCACCAAATGGTTTAGCACATCAGAATCCACTCTGAGCCTTCAAGTGATTACAAACTGTCCTAAGCAATACACACCATACCTTCCTGCCTTTTCCGAAAGGCTGGGGGATAAATTCTGAGCTGAGCTCAGATCCACCAGACTCAGGACTACCCTGAGTCCATTCCTTCTCAGCCTGTGCCCCAGGAAGCCCTCCACCACTCTATGTTACATGGGAAGAGGAACTGGGGCACTGGTGAAGTCAGGGATGTGCCAGAGACTGTGAGGCCCAACAAGGCAGCCTACAGGTAAGAGCCCAGACGGCTCTTGTCTGCGTTCACCAAAGCCTCACTGCTGCTGTCAACCACCACGGGTCGGTCGGGCATGCAGTCCCCATGGCTCCTCGCTCCCACCTCCACTGTCCTAGCTTTGCACCGAGAAGGACCAGCTCTGACCACTTCTGCAGGACTTGCCTCGAGCCCCAGTACCTGCCTAGGTGCAGTCAGGCTTCTCTACCGACTTCGGAGGTCCCATCCACACCAAGCCTCCGCTCAGCCTACCTCCCTCCACGCCGCTTTCCAGGGCTCCACCTTTCCGCAGAGGCCCGAGGACCCCACTTGCCCACGCCACCCTTCGGGGCCACCCAGAACCCGGTAAAGCCCCTGGCCTCGCCCCGCCCGGCGCCGGGGACGCCTCCGACCGCCTCACCTCATCGTCGGATTCCCCGTCACTGCTCTCCTCCTCCGGCACGCAGCCTCGGCTCGGGCCCCAGCCCCGGCCCCGGCCCCGGCCCCGGCCTCGCTGAACGCGCGGGCCGGCCCACAGGCGGCGGAGCCGGCGCAGGCCCCGGCGGAACCCCAGCAAACGGAGCAGGGCCAGGTCCTCCCCGGGCTCGGCTCCGCCCGGCCCCGCTGCGCCGCCGCCGCGCCGCAGGGCTACCCGCACTCTTTCGGCCCCGCTTCCCCGTCCGCCGCGGCTCCCGCCCCCGCCGGAGCCCCGCGGCCGGCCCGGGAAGCGGCCCCGCGCGGAGCCAGGCCAGGGGCAACTGCCGCCGCCCGCCGCCGCCGCCATCTTGGCACCGTGAGAGGGGCCGGGGAGGCGGGGGGAGGGGCGGCCCGTGCGCAGGGCCGGGGGGAGGGGAGGGGAGGAGGGGCGAAGCGGGGGTGTGGGGGGGCCTGAGGCTCACGACAACAACCAGCGCCACCGCGGGGCCGGCGGGAGCCGGGGGCTGGGCCGGTCACGCGCGGGGCACCACGGGAGCGGGAGTCCGGGGCCAGTCGGCCCCGTCACCCTCAGACCGCACCTGAAGAGTATAGACCCTGCGTCGCGGCCAGAGAGAGGGGATGCACAGGGACTTCTGGGAAATGTAGTCCAGACGCCTCGCTCCTTCCGCCGGAGCTAGGGCGCGAGAGCTGGGTCTACGGGGTCCCCAGCCAGGACCCGGAAAGCCAGTTCCCGGTCTCCCGGAGGTGTGGTCCTCTCCTCAGACTCCTCCCATTGTTCTCTCTGAGCCAGCGGCCAGCATGGACTACCACTCCCAGGGTGCTTTGGGCTTCGGACCTTGGAAACCCGGAATATGCAGGGAACTAAAGTTATCTGCTGCGGGAGGCGTGGGCTGGGGAAGGGGCGGTGGCTAGGCTGTCTCAGTTCCAGGTACCACCCCGCTGCGGTTCCACTCGGCGCGGAAAGGAGATGCTAGAGAGGCCGGTTTTGCCGCTCCTGTGATGAGAGGAGGCGGGTGGCCGAAAGTAGGGCCGGAGCATGCGCTCCTCTCCAGTCGTGAGCTGCACTCATCCAGCGCAGAGTCCACGCGCCGTTCGTTAATGGCTGTGGAAAGGGCCAGTGTCTTGGAATCTCACAGCCACCCCCTCCCAACACACCCACACAGAGCCTGTTGTGAAGTTTGCCGGGACACAGAGCCCTCGAGGGCGACTGCCTTCAGAGGAGGACTGGGCGCCCCGGAGATGGGGCTGGTTAGCGGATGCGTGGCCACTAGGGGCCGCTACAGGACAAGGAGCAAGGCCGGGAGCACCCCTCCCCCCTCCAAGCGCCAACTAGTCCTTTCCCGACTGGAGGACAGCAAACTCTTTATTATAGTAATGCAATCGACGGGCACCATACAGTTGGTCTTCTCTTCGATGCCATCATCCCAAGGGGGATCGCTAGCCCAGGCTTCTGCAACCCCCGACATTCGGGAGAGGGCTCTCGGTGCCATCCTGCGGCACTTCTGCTTTGGTAGGCCGCCTTAGCGGACGCAGAAGCCCCGCCCTCTTTCCATTCTTTGCTGGGACTCCTAACTGATGCCAAAGAACCTTCCAACACCCGATCAGGTGGTGGAGGAGGACGGACTCCCGGGAGAAGTCGAGGCGCGTGCGGGTCTCGTAGAAGAGGAGGAGTAGAGGAAGGTGGAACGGATGGTCCATCCCGGCGGGAGCTGGCTGGGCGAGTGGCCGCGCATGTGCGCCTGCATGGAGGCCAGGCTGGGGCAACCAGCCCCGCACAGCGGGCAGCGGTAGGGAGCCGCTCCGTGTGTCCGCAGGTGCTTGGTCATGGCGGAGAAGTCCCGGGAGCGCTGAGGACAGAGGCTACAGGAAAAGGGCTTCTCTCCTAGGGCGGACGGAGGGGAAGGTCAGTGAAGGAAGGAAGAAGGGGGCGCGGGCTGGCCAAACTGGGGGTGCATCAGGCAACGGAGACGGAGAGAGGGGCTAAGGAGCGGGCAGACCCGAGTTGGGAAAGAAGAAAATAAAGGACACTGGGCAGGGCGCCCGCACCTGTGTGGACTCGGTAGTGGGTCTCCATCTGATGCTTGAGTGAAAATCTCTTTCCACAGACGGAGCAAGAATAGGGCCTAGACCGAGCAGGAGTGATCGGAGAAGGGTGTTGGCGAGACGTGCACCCTGCTGTGTCCTCATGACCCATGCGGGTTGCCAGAGTGCCTGTGTGGACAGAGAAGTCAAAGTGGGGCAGAGGCCAGGAATCCCAGAGCCGAACACCCCGGAAAGAAATGAGAAATTTCAGTGGAGCAAAGACAGAAATGCCCTCACCCTACTCACCTGCACGCCCTTGCCCAGACTCTTCCATCTCCCCAGGGCTGAGCTGTGAAGGGCCTTGGGGCACGGAACCTGGAAGGAGCAGAGTGACGTAGGGGCCCTGTTCAGGCTGGACCCTTGAAGCCTAGCCCAGGAGAGAGACCCTGTGTTGCAGGCCAGTGAGGGGCTTACCTGGGGTTGGGCTGGAGGAGACCAACTGGTTCTGACTGCAATGCCCTTTGGGGCGACTAAAGGTCAGTGGAATCCTGGGGATGAGGTAGGAAGAATAAATGAGAGCTTTGGCCAAACTTGAGAGCTTGCCAAATCTGGCCCCTTTCTGAGGACGGGATGTTCTGAGTCCTCCTCATGGGCTGGGCCTTGGCTTCCTGGTGGTGGGAACTTGTCTCATCCCCAGCACCAGTAAAGTGCAGCAGAAAGAATAGATGCGGTGCCCTTCCACCCATCACTATGCTTCTGTCTGCTCCCTTCCAGCCTGGAGGTCCTCAGTTAGGCCCCTCACTCACCTCTGCTCTCGAGGCCAGACCTTCCAGGCTCCAGTGATGGAGGTGCTGTGGGAGAAGGGAGTTCCATATCTGGGCGGCCACAGCACGATGCTCCACAGGGCGGGCTGGCCCTCCCTGAGCAGAGGAGCCTCAGCCCACCAGGGCCTGGGGATGATGCTGGTTTGGAGGGAACCTGGCAGGGGAAGGGGACCAAGGAACTCCCGCAGACTCTCTTCAGAGCCCTCTGGGCTCTCTGTCACCTGCATGACCACTCTTTGCTTCCCTTCTGGTCCCCTCTGGACAAGAGGGGCTGGGTTGAGTTTCTCCTGTGACCTCATCTCTCCCTGACCCTCCTGTGTTCCCCCTGTCGTCTCAGCGCTCTCTCTTGGTGTCTTGTGCTTGTGTAAGGTCTCCTGTTCTCTCCTGCCAATTCTAAAATCTTCTGGTTTCTGCTCTCCAGGGTCCCCCAGTCTGCTCTGAGAAGCCTTCATGAAGTTTTCTGGCTCTTCCTCATGATTCTTCAGCCCCGGATCTAGTTGGTCTTCAGTCTTGTCCTTTTGAGCCCTCCTGCAGGCCTCTTCCAGTGCCTGCACCCCCAAGGCTCTAGCTGCCTCCTCAAGGGGCCCCAGCTCCCCAGACTTCAGCTCTACGTTCTGCCCATAAACAAAGCTCAGAAGCTGAGCAAAGGTGGAAGGGCTGATGCCTTCTGCCAGAGCCCACCGGCCCCTGCAGCCCAGCTGCTGGCTGACACCTGCTAATACCAGGCTGTGGGCAGGGAACTCCTGGCCCCCAGCAGTGATTAGGGTATCACATAGTGCTGGCCGGAGCTGGGCTGCTAGCCGGACCAGCCGATCGGAGCCGTAGGGGCTGCGCAGTATCGTGGACGGTGAAGGCATTGTGCCTTGACTGGATACTAAGTTTAGAAGCTCTGGTCACAGTGTGGGGTCCCTGGCAGAAAGGGGAGGGAAGAACAGCAATTTTCTCAAGCCTGTGGAGGGGAGGGGAGAAAGAGTGAGTTGCTGGTCCTGCATTGGAGCGCTCTGTGAACCAAGCAAAGAAACTAACCCAAGGGAGGACCTGAGCTTATCCAGAGTCATAACGGGAGCCGGTGGTGGGGATGTGGTGTGGCAGAATGGAAATTAGATCAAATTCAGAGCAAGAACCAGGTGGTTAACAGGACTGACCAGTAGTGTCTAGATGGCAAACTCTAGAAGTCACAGGTATTCCTGCCTCTCCAGGCCCTTCTGTAGAGAAAGGCTACTGAGTAGCTGGGTTTTCCATATTCCAGACATAGGGATGATCTGGTTTTTAGGAATAGAGCAAGACACAGCTTCCTGGGAGAGCTTAACTAGTGGGTCCTCCCCCAACAAGTCCATCACATGCAACCTGTCTGCCTGAAAGCCAAGAGGGCAGCAAGACAGGGGTCCCCACTGCAGCAGGGCAGGCTCTAGCATTGCTCAGTCATCTCCCTGAGGCCAAAGCTTCTAGAACACATCTGCACAGAAGGAGCTGGAAGTGACCAAAAACTCCCATCCAGTGAGTGAAGAGAGCAGATTCAGAAGCCACCGGAGGGAAGGCTCCTGACCCAGTGATGGAGAGAGGTGTAGGAGGTTTGACGCCTAGGGAAGGGGGAGAAAAAGAAATGGAAACCGTAGGGTGGGGAGCAATTTCCTCTCAAGATTAGGATAAGGAGATGACTTAATTTTGTTTTTCATAAGACTAAAAGAATAGAAAGAACCCAACAAGGCAGGGGTTTATCACACATCAAAACCACCACACTGGCTTTTGAGAAAACGGGGAACCCAAATACAAAGAAAAACAGAGCCCCCCATCCCATCTCAGCACCTAGCAGGCAGCACCCTCCATATAAGTACCCCCGTAGAGGGAGGGTTACTACTTGGATACATCAGGGAGAGTAGACTGGAAGAGGGGTGTAACGGGAGGAAAGGCTCAGCTAGAGAGAAACAACCACTCACCCTTGTAGCTGCCTCCTAGGACCGCATGCTCTGAACTGCTGTTGGGGCTCCTGGCACCCCCCTGAAGCTAGCCCCGCCCCCTGACCTCAGTCCTCCATTGGATGTCCCAAGTCTGCCACAGTCCCCCAGCGGGTGTGGCTTTATACCCTGGGCTCTGCTTAAGACCTGTAGGAGAGACCACCCCTCTGCTTCCAGAGCCAGAGACATTCTGCCTTCTAAAACTCCTGCCTCGACTTTTGTGAACTGGAGTCCAAGAAGGGAATCTGTGACAATGTGGACTCTGGAATGATTAGACTTGTGTTTGAGTGTCCTCTCCGCCATTTACTAGTTGAGTCACCCTGGGCAAGTCACCTCTGTGAGCCTCAGTTACCTCATTCATGAAACAGGGTGATCTATGCTTACCTCATGAGGTGGTGAAGATGAAATGACACAAATTCGAAAGTGATTTATAAGTATACTGCATCATTCTGTTTCTTAGAGGTGCCAGGAGACCTGAGCAGGTGGAAGTCCTTTGTACTTCCTTGGGAGTAAAAAGGATCCCAAGGAGAGAGTGAAGGTAGGGGAAGGGGGGTGGCATGTACAAGCTGCCTAGCTGGGTACTGGGGAGCCTCACTTGCTCTGTGGGAATGACCCTTGTCATCTAGGCCACCATCGGGGACTGGGTGTGCATGTGACTCAGATCCTCCCATTAAGCACTGAAGGGGGCAACCCCAGGAAGGGCCTGCGGTGGTCTTTGAAGAGAAAAATCTCCTTTTCCTAGACTGATGACAAATGACATTTCTCTGAAGTCAGGACCCAGGGGTTTCTTTCACTTCCTGCTCAAGGGGTCAAGGTCCTGGGACATTTCCCCTCGTCACAAGTTAGGACTCTTCAAATCAAGAGAGGGAGATAAGGCCTGAGAAACTCAAATTTCCTTTTCTGTTCCTTCTCTTTAACCTGATCCTGAAGCAAATTTTTCATTCATTCAACAAGTGTTGATAAGGTGTTTGTGGTGTGTGCCTGGCATATCATGTGTGTGCAATAAAATAGAAGATAAACAAGAGCCAGGCACTAGTGGCTCACACCTGTAATCCTAGCTATGTGGTAAGCTGAGATCAGGAAGATTGCAGTTTGAGGCCAGCCTGGACAAATAGTTCTCCAAATCCCATCTCCAAAGTAACCACAGCAAAATGGACTCTGTCTCTAAGCTTCCATTCCTCATTCCCTCTCTTTGGCTCCAGGACCCCCAAATGTTCAGACCAGTCTCCTACTCTTTCCCTCCTGATCTAAAATGCCTTCCTTCTCATTCTAGTTTGGGTGCAGGCAGGTGTCAACCCTTCCTAGATCAGACAGGGTGTGTTGGTGGGTGAGGCTGGTGGAGGGGCAGTAGGGTGGGGAGAGGGGAAGATGAGTCAGAGTGAAAGGGAAAATGCAAATGGGCAAGCTGTACTTCTCTGCTACTCTGAACACGAAATAGTTTCCATTTTTGAGTTCCTAGCTCCTCTCATCACCACACCCATGGACGCAGGAGATACCCATATTAAAAAAAACAAACAAACATGAACCATCCATCTTTCTGATATGAATATAAACAGAAACATTTTTCCTCCAACCCAGAAATACTCCCTTAAGACAAGGAAGATATGGGGGAAAAGCCACGAGTACAGAAGGAAGGGACGGGGTCTGAAGATTACCTTGTCACCCAATGATGTGTGCTTCCCCCTCCACACCCTGCCCCGCTGGTCTCCATCATGTGCTCGTGACTCACCTGCCCCTGTGTGCTCAAAGGGCAGCACCTCTGCAAGCTGAATGAAGTTGACAGCTAAGAGGGAGGAGAAGGGACAAGGGGACTCCCCACCAAGTGAACAAAAGCCCTCAAGAATGGGAAACCCCATTTTGCCTCCCACTTGGTGTCTACCCCTCCTAAGGATGTCCCCTTCAAGAGTGCTTCTTTAGAAGTGTGCTTGGTGCTCTGCACGTGAGCCCTTATGCTGGTGACACTCTGGCAGTCTAAGCCATCCTGTACTGAGCAATGACAGCAGAGGCAGATCAAAACAGCACTTTGACTTGAAAGGGTTGGAACACTGCTGAGTTGCTATTCTTAGAAGTTCCCCCTCTCTAGTCTCAAAAACCTTGCTCACGCTAGGCATATTGGCACATACCCATAATCCCTGCACTCGGGAGTTTAGGCAGGAGGATTATGAGTTTGAGGCCAGCCCTGACTCAAAAACACCTTGCTTACCTTCTGCTTCCCAGGCTTACTCGGGAATCACTGTAGTTGTCCCCCTGTGGTAGAGATAAGAAACCAGGGTGAGGAGCATACAAGCCTGCATCCTGGCAGAGGTTACGGAGGATGTGATTGGAAGAGGAGGCATAATGGCTGTCCTTTTTAGCACATTACTGGATCAAGAATCAGTTCTTTTAGTTTTCTTTTGTTTGAGACAGGGTCTCCTTATGTAGCCCAGGCTGGCCTTGAACTCCCAATTCTCCTGCATCAGTCTCCTGAGTGCTGGGATTATACACATGAGTCACCAAGCACAGCTCTGGTATTTTTTATTCTGCTAGGGTTGACCAATAAGACAGTAAGGGGAAAATGTGTAAGGCACTCAGTGCATAGCCCAGTTACAGTATCAGAGCTTTCCAGAAATTCTTATAGCAACCCAACTTGATATGATGTCAACACAGAAATACAAATACAGATTCTATTTAAGCATTGTAATTAAAATAGACCATCATAGTGGGTCAAGATGATTGTATGCTTTATGAAAAATGTTCTTCCTTTGTCTCATTTATTTCTATTTATTTTTTGGTGGGATGAGGTTTGAACTCAGGGCTTTGCACTTGCAAAGCAGGTGCTCTACTGCTTAAGCCACACCTCCAGTCCATTTTGCTCTGGTTATTTTGGAGGGGGGGGGTCTTCAAACTATTCACCCAGGCTGGTCTCAAACCTGGATCCTCCTGCTCACAGCCTCTCAAGTAGCTAAGATTCTAGGCATGAGCCACCATTCTCACTTATTTTAAATATTAAGCCCACTCCTTAAGCCAAGATTCAATTTGGAAAATTTCTGATAGAAAAGATTCTTCCTGCCAGGTGCCATTGGCTCAGGCCTGTAACCCTAGTTACTCAGGAGGCAGAGATCAGGAGGATCTCAGTTCAAAGCCATCCCAGGGAAATCATGAGATCCTATCATGAAAAAAACCAACACGGAAAAAGGGCTGGTAGAGTGGCTCAAGGTGTAGGCCCTGAGTTCAAACCCCAGTACCACAAAAAAGAAAGAGAAAGAAAGAAAGAAGAAAGAAAGAAAGAGACAAGGTTCTTCCTGGGAACACATCTCTTTCCACAAATCAAGGTGCTGAAACTTCCCACCGTATTTTACATAGACTAAGACTAATTATCCAAATATGACGTGAACTTTTAAGATGTTCACTCAAGTGCATCCAACACATACCAGAGAAGAGACATCATGAGTGAATTAGTTCCATTCTTCCCTTAAACCTATGCTCTATGTAACCCAAGAGCCCCAAAGAGTGAAGCCCAGGTGAGCGAAATCTAGGTCACAGAGACTCTCATGACACACTTTTTGTGGACTGAGGGGCAAAGGAACTCGACTAGAACTGTATCCTCACAGTGAATGGCCTTTTTCTTCAGTCTTAAGATGGGCCAAACTCACCCAAGACCCTCGACTTCCTCACTGGCCGTTTCAAGACCAGCACTGAGTATCAGCATTCACTTAAACCCAGGCCCCACTCTGACCTCCTCTGGCTATGTCCCTCTTCCAGGGTCTGAGGAGACCAAGGGCATCTGGGAAGAACTGACCTGAAAACTGAGAGCCACTCACACCTGGGTCATGAGACCATTCCCTGGAAATCCAGAGCCAGGAATTCCTGGAGCAAATGACACTGAGCCCACATCCACCGCCTATATGGGGCTCATCTCCAGT